GCTAGAGAATTTCACGGATAGGGTACAAAATAGTTAGGTTTAAAAAGATTATAAATTATATTGATTAGATGTCATTTTCAAAATGTTCTCCGCATATTACAAGAGCTTGTCACCCAGCGATAAGCACTGTTATTCAACGAAATTGACGTTAGAGAGTGGGATAGTCTTACAGATCCGAAACAGGGATTACTTTTTTTGTGGGCGGCGCCTATCTGGAGGCAGAAAATGACGGTTTTCAAGTGGCAGTCTATGGAGCCATGGAATAAAAGAAAAATATATTTTTCAAAATTCTGACTTTATTCTCGCAATTCCGAGATTATATCTCACAATTCTAATAAGGAAAAACAACTCGTCATTCTCTCTTTTCCCCTCGACTCTTCTGGCTTTTTCCCTCAGATTTGACAAACTCACTATTTTTGAGTTAAGTCGAGTTATAAAGTCTGAATTAGGAGATATAAACTTGCATTTGCGAGAAAAAAAAGTCAGAATTGTGAGATAAAGTAAATAGATATTATGTAAAAATGTTAATAGTAAGGTTTAAATAATATTTCTAATAGTAAGGTTTAAATAATATTTCATGCTGTAACTGTAGGGCTAATACAATATGTCCCCTATGAACAGCATATGTGAATATTATGTAGACATATTGTTTAAATCGAATTTATGCTTTAAAAGTAGAGTAATCATAACCGTTTTCATCCATAGTATGTCCATTTAAACGTCTGCGTTTAGCTTCAAATGACGACAGTATTCTATAAAAATTATTTGCATTCCGATCTTGACATCAAAAGGCACAAAAATATTTTTTTCTTTTATTCCATGGATTTTACCCGTTTCCCTCCACTTGTTCCCAGTGTTTTTCTGCAACCACTATGCGCGCGCAGCTGAAAGTGACGTAACTGTGACGTCTACTCTAAATTGGTCTATAAGGCGATACATTCTAAAACAACAGTCGCTTAAAAAAAAACTCACACTGGGGGCTCAGCTAGAATATTTTAAACTCCTGTGCGAAAGGGTTTTAATATGAACTATACAGAGACGAGATGAAAAGAAAATACCACGTAAACTTTTCTGAAGACAGTCAGTTCCCCTCAGAAACACATTCATATAGACCCCCGCAAATAAATATTGAGGATTTTCTTCCAAAAGTTGAACAGTGAGTGATCTGCGTACTACAGTATTTTTCTCTGTGCATCCGTCTTCAGCGTCTCTGGCCTGTGTTAACGGGCGTTTACAGACTTCATATTTTCACATAAATTACATTTTGGAAAATTATTGCATTGCAACGCAGTTTGTGCAAGTCCAGAACAGAGACGAGTTGCAATAAGACAAAAAACGTCCGGTTGCCGATCGCGTAAGATCCAGGGGAAGCTCCTTAAGTTCGGCCATCCTACACTGACCACTCGCTCGCACCAACAGGAGGAGGAGGAGGGTCATGCTACTCACTACACTGCACTCAACCTGAAGGACTCCTACACTTTCAGTCTTTGAGGACTGCAGAGACATGAAAATCAGTGCATACCGCAGGGATGGTATAATGGAAAATATTAGTAGTTTTGAAACCGTGAAATTTTCAAATCGCGGTATACCTTGAAACCGGTAATCGGCCCATGGCTATTAAGTAGTAATGTAATTGTTCTCCCCAAGTCTGTTTGACACCATTTAATTTCTAGTTATCATGACTTTTGTGATAAATGTGAAATTTCTCTCCTCTTTTTCAAGTTTACTATCTAGCATCACTTCTGTGCATCTCAGCATTATTCAGGGCTTCCACCGCCGACCCCGGAAAACTTGCTCAGGACCCCAAAATTCCACTCGCAGGTATGAAACCTAATGTTCTGTTTTGTTTTTCTAATGCAGCATAATAAACTTAATTAATTGTAATTAATCCACAGTCGGTGTCTAAATTAAACCATAGTCTGTGTCTAAACTATTCTCCACCCCCTAATTTAGTGTAGTAATTTTGTTCCACAAGTGTTGAAGGATTTATTAATAAGTGATCTTGCTAAAATCAGGATGCAATAATTACTTAATATTAATAACAAATCAAATATTGACCTGCCTTTATCATCTGGCTAAATTGGCAAAGCTAAATGCCCCACAGGCACAAAATGAGAAACAAATATAAACAATGTTATTATTGATCTTTTTCACTACAAATATGTATGTAAATTGTTTATACGTACAGGTAGATTCTAAGGATGAGTTAAGTTTACATAAATGTTTTTGCTTATGTGTGTGCTTTTTAATATGTTCTTTATCTTTTAATTAATGCTGTGTAGAGTCGGAGACCAAATGCTTACCATACTTAATGAAGTTCCACTAACTAACCAGATGAGGGCAGTATACCTCAGTGTTCAGTGACTTAAAGGGGTCATATGATGTGATTTCAAGTTTTCCTTTCTCTTTGGAGTGTTACAAGCTGATTGTGCATAGATCCCTGAAGTCTAAAGGCTCAAAACCAAAGAGATATTCTTTATCAAAGTTAAGACTCTGCCACGCCCCCCCTAAAACGGCTCTTTCTAACACGCCACCACATATCTACGTTACTATGTGAAAATATTTGCATAATGCCGCCCAAATGTTCACGCAAAGAAAGAAGGTGTGGTTTCAGTAACTGCAGTTAGTGTTGAAGCAGCCATGTCAGGGAGACGCTGTGTTTCTGTTAAGATTACTTACAACAGAACAGCAATGCATTTTATGGACGACCGTTTCGTGAACCTAGGAGAGGAGGTAATTTTGACTTTGCTATGACAATCTGGCGCTTCTGAATCAGCTACTGTTTTGTTAATAGTTTAAGTATTTGCTATTGACTGTTCAAATGCAGAGTTTTGCGCATCGTGTGTGTGTGTGTGTGAGTGTGAGCGAGCGAGCGAGCGAGAGAGAGAGAGAGAGAGTGCGCGAGAGAGAGAGGCTTAACAATACCTTTATTAAACCATTTCTCTTTCTTTCTTAATAATCACACAATAAGTTTCACATAAACAAACAATAAATATATACCTCCTTAAGAAATTTTTCTACAAATTCAAAATCAACAATTCATTTTCAATTTTACAAATCTTAATTCTAGCAGTTATCATCCCTTTTATTACCATCTCAGCATTTATTGGACCCATACCCAACATTTTATTTTTTCTAGTTTTCCAAATAAGACATCTTAGCTGACCCCAACACAAAATTCAGTAAACATTTTTCAATATCAATAAATAAATGATTCACCGTTTCTTCAATCCCACAAAATACACACACTTTCCCCACTGCTGGATTCAGGTGTGCCACGTGTCTGTTCGTAGCTATAGCCCCCCCGTATATCAATCTCCACTGCAAGTCTGCAGTACGCTTCTCAATCGGCAGTTTATACAAAGATCTCCAGCATGCCTTGAAGTTTGTCCCAAACACATCCGACCACCTCCAAGTCTTTACTCCTCTTAGCAGTGTCTGATGAGTCACTTTTACAGATGTTATATACAGATCTTTCTTCTTAATATCATGAAAAAGACCCAACTCGGGGTACTCAAATGATAAAACTGATTGTCCAGCATCCTCATTCTCTTCTTGTACAACAGCAGAGACTTTAATAGGTGGAAATTTATAATCACCATGCCGATCCAGTGACAGTGCCTCTCTACATGCACCTGGTAGAACTGCCCACACCTCCTCCATTATTCTTCTCAGAAGGCGCAGAGATCGAAGCCCAGTAACACTCTGCATTGTCTCAGCTGTTCTCCAACCATCACCACTTCTTAGATCCCCCAACTTGGTATATCGAGCCTTGACAAAACAGCTTTCCACAGATTTAGATGATAAAATCTTTGTTCTTATTAATGGGTTATGGAACAAAGGTTCCCCCATTATCCAGTCCTCGGGTTGTAAGATTTCTCTGTGTATAACAAATGTCTTTTTCCAAGCTATTATCATTGACTTATAAAAAGCTGTTAAATCCTTTAAATCCAGTTCATCAAGTTGCAATAAAAAACTGTTTATCATACAATAAACCAGACGTTTCCCGTAGAAGAGCACAAGCAACATTAATCCATCCAACATACTCTTCATACAACAGTCGCTTTACTGCTTTTAGTCGAAATGCATTTATGCGGCTTCGCACGTCTATCAGGCTTTGCCCTCCTTCATGCACTGGTAGATAAAGTGCAGGCCCAGGAATCCACTTTTGACCGGACCAGAATAAATCCACCAATTTCCTCTGAATGCTCTTAATCAAGTCATCCGGTGGCTCAAGTACATTCAGTCTATGCCATAACATAGAGGCAGTCAGATTATTTGCAATCAAGACTCTGCCCCTATAGGATAACTCGGGTAATAGCCAATTCCATTTAGACAACTTGGCAACAACCTTTTCCAGCATACCCTCCCAGTTCTTTTCTTTAGACTGATCATTACCTAAAAACACCCCCAACACTTTAATACCTTCCCTTCCCCATTTTAAACCTTCAGGAAGTTGAGGTGGTCCAGTATCAACCCAAGAACCCACCACAACCCCTTCACATTTTGTCCAGTTTACCTTAGCTGAAGTAATAAACATGTAATACATCATCAGCATATGCAGATACAGAATACCTTAACCCTGAATTATCACCAGGGATCATTAAACCTTTTAGCTCAGTTCTTAGCTTACACAATAAGGGTTCTATGGCTAAACTATAAAGTTGTCCTGATAGAGGACATCCCTGCCGGATTCCTCTTTCAACAGGAACTGGACAACTCAGGCCACCTCCTATCTTAAGCATTACTGAAGCCCCTTCATGCAGTAATTTTATCCAAGAAATTATCTCCTCCCCAAATCCAAAGGCTTTTAAGACATTAAAAAGATACTCATGACCCACACGGTCAAAGGCTTTCTCTTGGTCAATAGATAAAAAACCCACATCAAGATTATTTCTAAAAGATATATCAATTACATCCCTCATAAGAAACAAATTGTCCATTATTGTACGCCCCGGAATACAGTAAGTTTGTTCTCTTTCCACCACAATATGCAAAACATTTTTAATTCTATTAGCCAAACATTTAGAGAGTATTTTTTTAGTCTAAACACATTAAAGACACTGGGCGCCAATTCTTTAACAACCCTAGGTCTCTACTTTTTGGCAGGAGTGATAACACAGCTCTCTGACATCTGATTGGTAAACAACCTCTTTTAAAACATTCACAAAATACATTATACAAATCTTCACCTAAAACACCCCAAAAAACTTTATAAAATTCTGCTGGTAAAACATTGACTCCTGGTGACTTTCCTGTAGAAAGCTGTTGCACAGCCTTTGACAGTTCATCAAAAGAAATCATTATGTCAAATGACTTTTTGTCCTCGGATCTTAATTTAGGAAGATCCCTTAAGAGCTGGTCCATACATCCAATGTCACAGTCCATATTACCAAACAGTTCTTTATAAAATTCTATACCCATCTTTCTCATTTCAATTGGGTCTGAAGTAATTGTTCCATTTTTCCTTCTAAGATGAAGCATATATTTCTTTTGTGCTTTCTTTCGTTCAAGTCCAAAAAAATAAGCAGTTGGAGCATCCATTTCTTTAATCGAAGATATTCTAGCTCTTACTAGTGCACCTTTAACTCTTTCTTCCAACAGTGACTTCAATTCCATTTTTTTCTTTTTTAAAACATTCATTGAACCATGATCATCAACATCAATCAATCTTCTTTCCATTTCATTAATCTCATTATCCACATTTTTTACATTCCTCTTCAGAGTAAAAGTAGTATTATAAGAAAACTGTTGACAAAAAACTTTAATCTGTGCTTTTCCCACCTCCCACCACTGTCAGATTTTCAAAATTATTTTTCCTTCGTCTCCATATTTCCCAAAAAGAACTGAATTTCTCAAAAAAAATCTTTATCTTGTAATAATTTTATATTAAAATGCCAATAAAAATTAGGTCTTGAAACATTTACAATATTATAATCTAGAGTCACCATATGATGATCTGAAAAACCATTCGGAAATATATCACTATTAATAACTCTCTTCATTTCTGATTTTCTTTATATATAACCTATCCAATCTAGCACCTGTCACAACAGAATCTAATATCTTTACCCAAGTATATTGCTTCACCAACTTATTTCTACTTCTCCACACATCTTCTAAATTCAAATCATTTATAATATCAAGAAGTAGCTTACTAGATTTCGAGTGAGGCTCTTCCCCATTCCTATCAAATACAAAATTTGTTGTACAGTTCCAATCACCTCCTATTATAACACATATTTCCATCATCAAATTATTTTATTGCATCATTTAGTTTTCGAAATGTTATTTCACGATTCAATCCTATGTTTGGAGCATACACATTAACAAAAAGGAATTTAACACTTTTAATTTCTGCTAGAACCATTAAAACTCTACCTTTTTCTATCTCTTTTGTCGTCACAACTTTTAAATCCAAAGATTTTGAGAAAAGAATTGCAACACCCATACTAAAATTTGTTCCATGACTTAATCTGCACTCTCCTTCCCACCATCTATACCACTCTATTTCATTATTACTATCAGAGTGTGTTTCTTGTAAAAAAAATTACTTTTACTTCATTTAATTTAATAAATTCAGAAAGCATTGCTCTTTTAACCCTCTCTTCCTCTATTGACATTTAAGGATCCTACTCTTACAACCTACATAAACAGGTTCCAGAAGATGGAAAAAAAACAGATAGAAAGAAGAGAAGAAAAAGAATCACCCTTAGTGGTTTACACATCATTAGCCAAATTTATTGAAATTTCCTTTTCTTGGGAGTTTTCCCCTTTCTTATTTTCATGACAAGCTTTTTCAATCGAAATCTCTTCCTCTTGTTTAGTTTGTCCTCTCCTACTCGCTTCATCCTGTACAAAACAGAACTTTCAAACTTCTTCATATCAGCAAAGTAATTCTTCACTTCTACTACTTTCCCAAATGTCTCATCCAAAAAACCATCTATCTCTTCCAGAGAATAAAACTGCTCACAACCCATCTGAGATAAATTTGACATATCTGATACATCTGACAAAGCATCATCCTCACTTTCTTCCTCTCTTTCAGTATTAACAATTTCTCCTATTTGTTTGCTCTCCAAATTCACTATACTTTCAGCACTTGATTTATCCATATCAACTAACATCACTTCTACACCAGTTTCTAACCTTTCCACCTGCTCTGCCTCCTTCACAGCTTCTGTCATCACCATCTCTTCTACTACTTGTGCCTCCCCATTAACCTTTTCTACCACCTTAAATGCTTCCGTAGTAGGCCTGTTCTCACTTTCAGTACTAACATTACTTGAAACTTCTTCATTACGCACATTTTGATCCTCAGTTCCCACTGATTCTCCAACAGTTTCTTCCACCCTACCATTCTCATCATTACTTTGACCTGCCTCATTCCTCACCCCTTCTCTATGTGGACATAACAATCGTACATGTCCTACTGATCCGCACTCAAAACGCATTTCCCCCGTGCTCGCATACAACATGTACGATTTTCCCTCATACACGCAACGGAAAGACACATTTAATGTCGGCTCATTCAAAAACATAAACACCTGCCGTCTGAATGATAACACATGCTTCAAGGACTCATGTTTATAACCAAGCGGAACCATCCTAATTCCACTTGTAAACTTTTCATGCCTCGATAACTCACGCTGTATATCTTCATCTGGAATAAATGGCGGGACATTTGAAATTGTTACTCTTACCGTTGGCGCTACTAAAGGTTGAACAAAATGCTTCCGTAGTAGGCCTGTTCTCACTTTCAGTACTAACATTACTTGAAACTTCTTCATTACGCACATTTTGATCCTCAGTTCCCACTGATTCTCCAACAGTTTCTTCCACCCTACCATTCTCATCATTACTTTGACCTGCCTCATTCCTCACCCCTTCTCTATGTGGACATGACAATCATACATGTCCTACTGATCTGCACTCAAAACAGCGCATTTCCCCCGTGCTCGCATACAACATGTACGATTTTCCCTCATACACGCAACGGAAAGACACATTTAATGTCGGCTCATTCAAAAACATAAACACCTGCCGTCTGAATGATAACACATGCTTCAAGGACTCATGTTTATAACCAAGCGGAACCATCCTAATTCCACTTGTAAACTTTTCATGCCTCGATAACTCACGCTGTATATCTTCATCTGGAATAAATGGCGGGACATTTGAAATTGTTACTCTTACCGTTGGCGCTACTAAAGGTTGAACAATAACAAAAGCTCCACTTACCACTATGCCGCTTTCTACCAAACGAAATACCAGTTGCTCCTCCTTCAAAAAGACCACCACGGCCTTATTCATCCTAGACGCTGAAACAATGTTTTCATGTCCCACTCGTTCAGCTACGTCCAGCAACACATCCTCCACCTTTACTTCCGCTTATGTGATGCATCTAATTCCGTGACAGAGCGACAGAGACGGCATTCGCACATCCAGGTGCGATGCCATCCCTGCTCTCGCCACGTGAAACCTACTACTCAACAGTCAAAACTCACACTAAACTTCGCTTCTACAATAAATATTAAATTTGAATATCCATTTCACTCAAAAGAAAAATTGAAAGGCAATAGAAAAGTCCATATAAACCCCCCTCACGTTACACCTCTCCCACTTCAAAACCGGAAATTAGGAGAGAGCGAGAGCGAGAGAGAGCGACACATCACAGTGGAGTCAGCTGTCTTAGTGGCTTGTGTACTGCTAACGCATATTCATCACTGTGTCTGTCACGAGACTCTGTTCCCCTTTCGGACTCTGTCTTTACATTTATTTTGAAAGATGATTATGGTAAGGGGCGTTACATTTCCGATGAGTGCTTGCGGTGTTCGGCCAATCACAATGCACTGGGTCAGCTGGCCAATCAGAGCAGACTGCGCTTGTCGGAAGGAGGGACTTTGTAGAAAACGAAGCGTTTGAGAGAGGCGGGGCATAGAGGACTTACAATAATGTGCAGTATTTGAAAAATAATGTGTTTTTTGAACATTAAAGCATGTCAACATATTCTTTACACCAAATACACAAAATAATGATCTTTAAAAAAGCATCATATGACCCCTTTAAGTCTTACAGTTTTTTTTCAATTGCTAACGAGCATTTACCAATACTTAAAGGGATAGTTCACCCAAAAATGAAAATTAGCCCATTATCTAATCAACAAATAGTAGAAGAACAGTGTTTAGGAAACCTGTTTAAAATTAGTAATATTTAATTATTTTTAAATGTAATTATATTTAGTGTCATAGCTAAATTTAGCAATTTTATACAGTCATTTGTCCTGAAATTATATGAGGGTAGAATAGCTTCAGAACATCAAAATAATGTTTTTCTTTGAATACCACTAGATGGCAGTGAAGACCTTTTTATTCCAGTTAACAGTTTTTGTAGCAGCACTGAAAATGTTTTTTTTTTCCATTTTATTTGCCTTGTCATTTCAGAGAGAGACAACTGGGAACTGTGCAATAAATGCAACATGATGAGGCCAAAGAGGTCACACCACTGCAGCCGCTGTGGCCACTGTGTCCGTCGCATGGACCACCACTGTCCCTGGTAAAACTTTAACAAGAAATAGAAATAATACACTACTACAAGCATTTGAGTGAGCACAGCAGTCTTTAAAAAAAGTTCTGTATCTATATATTATCCATGTATTTTTGTGCTTGTGAGAAAACAAATAATTTAGTTATTAACAGTGACCAAAAAAAAAGTTAATTTTATACCGGTACTCTAAGGCTTGTTATCTGTATGTGAGACATGTTGAGATTTTTACGACCGTTTAGGATCCAAACTGAAATCTGGCCTGTTGACCCATGTTCACAGTATAACCTTAAAAGACCCTGTACCCCAGACAGCTTTACATTCCTGGTGGATTTTGTATAGAGCAAGTTTAATGAAGTCTCTGTAGAGAGGCAAAACAGAGGGAGAGGTGATATCAAGTGACCAGAGAAGCCTGTGTTAAGTCCAGCCATTATGGTAAGGGGCGTTACATTTCCGATGAGTGCTTGCGGTGTTCGGCCAATCACAATGCACTGGGTCAGCTGGCCAATCAGAGCAGACTGCGCTTGTCGGAAGGAGGGACTTTGTAGAAAACGAAGCGTTTGAGAGAGGCGGGGCATAGAGGACTTACAATAATGTGCAGTATTTGAAAAATAATGTGTTTTTTGAACATTAAAGCATGTCAACATATTCTTTACACCAAATACACAAAATAATGATCTTTAAAAAAGCATCATATGACCCCTTTAAGTCTTACAGTTTTTTTTCAATTGCTAACGAGCATTTACCAATACTTAAAGGGATAGTTCACCCAAAAATGAAAATTAGCCCATTATCTAATCAACAAATAGTAGAAGAACAGTGTTTAGGAAACCTGTTTAAAATTAGTAATATTTAATTATTTTTAAATGTAATTATATTTAGTGTCATAGCTAAATTTAGCAATTTTATACAGTCATTTGTCCTGAAATTATATGAGGGTAGAATAGCTTCAGAACATCAAAATAATGTTTTTCTTTGAATACCACTAGATGGCAGTGAAGACCTTTTTATTCCAGTTAACAGTTTTTGTAGCAGCACTGAAAATGTTTTTTTTTTCCATTTTATTTGCCTTGTCATTTCAGAGAGAGACAACTGGGAACTGTGCAATAAATGCAACATGATGAGGCCAAAGAGGTCACACCACTGCAGCCGCTGTGGCCACTGTGTCCGTCGCATGGACCACCACTGTCCCTGGTAAAACTTTAACAAGAAATAGAAATAATACACTACTACAAGCATTTGAGTGAGCACAGCAGTCTTTAAAAAAAGTTCTGTATCTATATATTATCCATGTATTTTTGTGCTTGTGAGAAAACAAATAATTTAGTTATTAACAGTGACCAAAAAAAAAGTTAATTTTATACCGGTACTCTAAGGCTTGTTATCTGTATGTGAGACATGTTGAGATTTTTACGACCGTTTAGGATCCAAACTGAAATCTGGCCTGATGACCCAAGTTCACAGTATAAGCTTAAAAGACCCTGTACCCCAGACAGCTTTACATTCCTGGTGGATTTTGTATAGAGCAAGTTTAATGAAGTCTCTGTAGAGAGGCAAAACAGAGGGAGAGGTGATATCAAGTGACCAGAGAAGCCTGTGTTAAGTCCAGCCCTACAGTACAGCTGATGAAGGCTGCTGTCTGTCTGTACTCAGCAAATCGTGACTCCCTGTCATCGCCTGTAATGGCCGAGGGAAGAGGAGGAAAAAACGTGGCCATATCGTTTTCTGTATTAGTTTTACTAACAGTTCATCTTGCTCTCTCTCTTGGCCCTCTCTGCCCTATTCTTATGTTCCTTATTCTGGTGGTGCTTCCTGTGGCGTGATCTGTCTTAAAGGGATAGATCACTCAAAAATGACAATTTTGTCATCTTTTACTCACCCTCAAGTTGTTCCAAACATGTAGGAATATCTTTCTGCTGAATACAAACGAAGATGTTTTGAATGGACATAAAACTAATCTGATGATCAGAGCCTTTTGCCCTGATCATCAGATTAATTATTGTGCCTTTAATCCCAACAGTAGGGGTGCTTTTCACAAAGAATACCATACTTTTACATATTTTTTATTTATTAAAAAAAACTTTTGATTTAATTACCTTGAACAAAACCGAAAACCATTAATAAGATCTTTGTCTCATAATATTTTTGGTAATTTGAAAAATTCTCATTTGCTACATAATTCTCTAAAAACAAAAAAACATTAAATATTAGATTTACTTTGTATTGCTGCTCGCGATCATCTCAAGGACCATCCAAATTTACATGTACATAGTGAAACGTGAATGTTTAGAAAAGTTCCATAGTTGTGAATTTAGTCAAATCAGGTAAAGTTTCCTGTGTGGAGTGCTGCTTGTGTGCCTTGTGGAGTTTCTACCTATTTAAAGTGCTCTAAAATAGTTTTATGTTGTTTATGAGGTTTTACATCCTTAGAACATGTAGCAAGTGCACTTTAAAATAGCCAGGTGCTCACTAGGTTGTCTTGTAGCAAGGTGCTCACTAGGTTGTGAAATAGACCTCGTTTATATCCGTTTAGGTAATAAAGTAGTGTATTTAATTTGGAATTCTTATTATAAGTTATTAAAAATAGCTAAAACATTTCTGTCTCTGTCTGTGCAGGATTAATAACTGTGTTGGGGAGGATAACCACTGGCTCTTTTTGCAGCTGTGTTTTTACACTCAGGTTCTGAGTCTTTACACTCTGGTGTTGGACTTCTGCCAGTACTACTACTACCAGCCCCTGTCCTCGGTGAACCGGGTAAGACCGTCTTTCATTTACACACCTCCATTTATACTGTCCCAAAGTCACTGTAAGTTTTATAGGTTTAAATAATTGAAAAAATATTTTAAAGTGCACTTTTTCCGTTAGAGTTATGTGGGTGGACCTCAGCTTCACTGCACACACTGTTTTAGGCAAACACAGTACATGTGGGCCATGACATGGTAAAATCCATAAACAAGCATTTTTTTTTATGTTGATGACAGTATTATGGCATAGTGATATTAACTAACAATAATGTACCTCAAAGAAGCACAAATAAAGATATAGGTGCAAACAGAATACAGTGACGTCAACCTTGGTTTTAATAAGCAGTTATTATTTTATGACACAGAACGCGTTGGTGAAACTCATGCATCTAGCAAGAACTTAATACACAAAATAGTCATATTGATTCAAGCATTTAACATTTATGAATGAATTAAATGTCAGTAGCCTAATGAACAATACTGTACAAATTATAGCGATCACGAGGTCGTTCATATTCTATCCCAAACGCGTACAGTAAAGTGGATACAGTATAGCCTACAACACCCCATCAGTTATATTCAGGTCAGTAGTGCCACCTGTCCGCGCAGTTTTGTAACTTTAACTTTTATGTCGAGATCACGAGAAAATGAAGTCATTATAACGAGAAAACAACTCTCGTTATGTCGATATAACGAGAAAATTAAGTCGTTATAACGAGAAAACAAGAAGGGAAAAAAAAGAATGCATGACCGCTTAGAACTTCCGTAGAAATGACATGCCGTCGTATAAATACCATAAGGCTATTTAGTTTGCTTAATGAAAGAACAAGGTATAGACATGTTCTATAAGAAAGGTAACTTTAAATGACTTCGGTTGTGATCTGGCGCTAGAGAGAAAATATAATTAAATAAAATGATCTTGACCTTCAAGGGGGGCGGGGGATGCCGTTGGGGGGGTGGGCCGCCCCCCTAAAATAATGGCAGGGGAAACATTGAATAGGGTACTTTTCAGTTACATTTTACATATTTGCTTATTATTTGGATGGTTATTAGTACAATGGTTTGGCAACTTTTGGCTTTGTAATTTATTAATGAATCAAAAAAGCAGATGATGTGATTTCAAGTTCATTCATCACAATTGATATGGATAGTCAGTCAGGTGCATTGCATTGTGAGATACAGTACAATATGCATAACATTTTGATAGTTATGCAGAAATATTAAATATTTTAAATATTATATGGTAGTATGCTATTTTTCATTTAGCCAATTTTATTATTCTGTGGTTTAGTAGAATCTTCTCAATGGAGGCTGATAATTAACACTGGATTTGCACCACTTAACTGAGATTAGGGAGCTGCAGGTGGTATCAGCATTACTGTTCAGTACTGAATAAGCTGTTACTTTGAATGAGAGAAACGTAATACAAATTGTATTTGCATGCAGTGATCAGTTATACTGGTCTGATGCCATATCACTTCATCCAAAACACACCTGCAAACAGCAAATTCACAGAGTTTGGTCCTTTTCTTATAGCTGTAATATTTTCGACAGACTAGGGATGTCAGTTTTCAATCATTTCCATGATCGATCGTTGTTTAAATTAATGATCAATTAATCGTTAAACCTTAATACTGCAAAATGCGTCTATTGCAGTGGCATATAGTCACCGGCATGACAGGATGTGCAAATGCTACTCAAAACACCAACTTCCTCACCCGAATGAAAGGGGGTTTTAGTCTAAATAAAAGGCTAGTAGTAGGATTGTAAAATGAAAAGATGTGATTATGATCATTTGATAAAAGGAAGAGAGTGCACCGTATTTACGTTTGGGATCATTTTACTTCGTTGGCAGTTTCATATTCTGTCACAGAGACCACTGAATACGCCTTTTTAAATGGTTTCATGGTGCTCGTTGTTATATTGTAAAACATAATCGCAATGTTTGCAATTAAAATTATCGCCATTTAAAATAAAATGATCTCAAACGTAACTGCGGCGTGTGGGGCTGTGCGGTAAGTGAACCTCTTCCACTGATGCTCATATGAAACATGTTTATGTGAATATTATGACACAAGTGAGGTACAAAGCTTTGTTTATAAGATAAATAATTGGTTAGCATGCAAATGTTACATCATGACCATGCTTTTGGATTCATTAATGACGCATGCACAAAAATTAATAATTCGTAGGAACAAATTAACAAGTTGTAATGAATTATATATATATATATATATATATATATAATTAGCTTTTCTGACCCATGCTCAAAAACCCTCCAATGTGGCTGAATTACAACAAATCTGCATAGATGAGTGGACCAAAATTCCTCCACAGCGCTGTAACAGACTCACTGCAAGTTATCGCAAACGCTTGATTGCAGTTGTTGCTGCTAAGGGTGGCCCAACCAGTTTTTAGGTTTAGGGGGCAAACACTTATTCACACAGGGCCATGTAGTTTTGGATTTTGTTTTCCCTTAATAATAAAAGCCTTCATTTAAAAACTGCATGTTGTGTTCACTTGTGTTTTCTTTTACTAATATTTAAATTAGTTTGATGATCTGAAACATTAAAGTGTGACAAACATGCAAAAAAATAAGAAATCAGGAAGGGGGCCAACACTTGTTCACACCACTGTATATAATTAGCTTTTCTGACCATTTACAAACTGTGTAATTTGCTTGATATTTGGAATATTGGGAGAAAACATGAAGATATGAGAAAAGAGATGGGCTCTGTCCTGCCTGTGTCCCACGGCCCTGTCAAAGCGCAGAGCCCGATATGAAACAATTATTTGGGGAAGTTATAATTAAACATGACTTTCTTTTGAAAACATGAGTTTCTATTGCTTTCCATGTTGAATGACATTTTACTTTTTCTATTTTTATGGACTTTTAAAGTTTGGATCACATTAAAAGCACAATTTGTACATCAGTGAATTATTTTCGCAAAAGATCCAGCCCCGCCCCGCCACGTCACTCACAGTCGCTTGAATGTGTTTTTCTCATGAGCCACAAGTGTGAGCCAAAAGTAGTGAGTGATAATGCGATTTCACCATTTTGAAAAAATCTAATAAAATTATAAATTTTTCAGCCCTCTACGAACACCTTGGCAATTGAATATATATATATATATAT